TAAGAGACAGGAACAATGATGTACGTATCGTTTTGGGCATACTCCGTCAACGATCTAGATTCTTACAAGTAATTAATAAACTCTTCTGACAGGTGTGGAACCAATGTTTCGCAGAAAAGGCCAGTATAATACTATTAGACCACAGGGACCGTTTTTATGTCGCAGAATAAAAATCCAATCCCGACAATTCTTCAAACAACGGATATAAGGTCTATGCGCATCGAATAAACCTACCATTACGTGATTGCCTTCTCCAATGACCGTTTCCATATTGTTTCCATCCATGCTATAAAGAATTGTAAACGAGGTTACTGATCCACGTGTAGTAACACCAGTAATTTTTTTAATCACGCCAAAATCTGCCTGTATCCAGGGGTGTTCGCGGTCATAATCTGGAAACCAATATCGTCCCACCAGATAATTGCTAGACGCCGTCAACGATACTTTCTCTGAAGTCATTTCAAACACATCTGAGCAGTTTGTCTGCGGATTTAGTCTGCCTATAGAGATTAAAACATATAAATACATCAACAACGGCAGCGGCGGCGGCGGTGACAGTAGCACACAACAACAATAACAATAACAACATAACAACAACAATAATAATAATAACAATAATAACAAAATAATAACAAATAATAAAAATAATGATAATAATAACAATAAAAATAACATTAATAATAATAATAATAATAATAAATAAATACTTTGCAAATTTGATTAATGTGTACCAGTATAAACTAGGGATAAATATATTAACATCATCTTGATTATTTACATTCACTCAGAGTGATTTATGAATTTTTACATATATACTCCATACACAATTCTTAGACTGAAAAACAGCAATTAATATATCAAATATTTCTTTTTTATTTTAATCTTTGATTATATTTTATATTTTTGTTTATATTTGGCTTTTGCTAGCAGTAGCTGGAAAAGATACTGTTCTTATTCTGACTTTTTTTTTCTTAAATATCGTTTTTCCTATCTGTTTTTACTGGGATCTACCACCTTGCACTTTGAACACATTCCATGCTGCGATTTTTTCCATACTTAGTCGAAGAACAGACCATATCAAGGATGTGCCTCCTAATATTTAGTATCAATTTAGAGTAGGGTGTGAATGTGAGGACCAATTAAAGTGATTTAAGGGCAAACACTCTAAACCAGTTTCGGGGAAATTCAACCAAGTTACAAGAAATGTTTATGTGGTGATGTCAATACAATTTAGAGTTTATGTGATGGTAATTTTAATTTCAGACGTCCCAGACATAAATATCTCTGAAAAACTACTAATGGGTCACAATGAAACTTTCTATAATTGTGTTTCAAGGTCCAGACAAAGAAATCCGGAGTATGGTGTGGAAATGATAACTATTAAATAGAAAATGTCCCAGACCAGATATTTCAAAAACGAATCAAATGATACGAATGAAATTTTCGGGGAAAGTTCAACAAGGAAGAAATTATTGTGTGTTGGCAACGATTTAATTTAGGGTGTAAATGTGAGGTCATTTTAATTTCTGACGTCCCGAACATAAATATCTCTGATATCTTATCAATGGATCTAAATAAAATATTGTATAATAGTTTGTCATAGTGTAATAAAGAAATGATTAAATTTTGGTGACGATCCAAAGTAGGGTGTAGATTTGAAGACCATTCAAGGGAAACATTCTAGACCAGATATACAAAAAAAAACTTACAACTGATCTAAATGAAACTTTTTGGAAAGTTTAACCAATTTACAAGGAAGACATAGTTATACTTTGGTGACGATATAGATTTAGGTGTAAAATTGGGGTCATATTAAGTGCTAACGTCCCAGACCTAAATATCTCAAAAACTGACCAACAGATCAAAATAAAACTTTACAGAATGTTTTGTGATGGTCCACCAAGAAATGTTACAATATAGAGGATCTACTATAGTAATCTTGATCCCAGGATTGGATAACTTTCATGCACAGTTTTTAACTAACGGCTGTTACGTTGTATTTTGTAATAATTGTTGTATTTTGTAATAAGCTTGTCGTATTTTGTAACAACAGTGCTGTCGTATTTTGTAATCAATCTCTGTCGTATTTTGTAATAAACTGAGCCGTTTGTAATAAAGTCTGTCGCATTTTGTAGTTACAATTTAAATGCATGTTTTCTTCTATACATTTACAGTTTTTCAAAAATTAGATAAAAATTTGTGTTAATAATTGTTTGGTGGGAAAATGTTTTACTAAGATGTCAAAGGTCACATGGTTTGTCGCATTTTGGAATCGTATTTCAATACATTTTTTCCTTTATAGTTCTACAATTTTTAATGGACTACACACAATATTTGTTTGGTACGGGTGTGAGATAAAACAGGTCAAAGGTGAATATAAATAATAATTAGGGTTAGTTAAAACATAAAGATTATTTTGTACTTTGAAGTTATAAAAGATGGTGTAGCCCTATTAAAGCTCCTACTTGGGAATCGTCAGAAATAATATTCAAGTTCAGAGGTCCTTAGTGGCTATTTGAAAAACACTTTTTTTAATACAAATTTAATGGTTTAATTTAATGGTTTGGCAAAAGTGGTGGGCCTAACGATGGTTTCTGGACCTTCAAGGTTACAAGGATACAATGAAATTTCATGTCTGGATACAACAATGTGAAAAAGCATAAGACTATTTACTAATAATAATAATAATAATAATAATAATAGTTATGATATATTTGTATTAACTTGTTTTTAATCACCCAATTACTGGCCACCCCCACTAAAAACCATCTACATCTGATGTTTACTATTGAAGTCTCTAATTCCTCTGGGGAGGGAGGAGAGACGATGGCGTTCTGTAGAGACCCGTGGTGGCCTCAGTCTAGCTACGTTCAATGTAACAGTTGGCAATATCTGAATGAAGGGGTGACTTACATTAGCCCATATCGAGCACAACCGTTCGTGGTAGACAAGACTTTAAGGAACGCATGTTGACTAGCATATTCTTTGGTTTTGGTTGTTCCATTGTTTTCTACCACTTATTTGTTTTGTTGGTGTATGTATGATACGATAATTTCATGCATAACGCCACTGGGAATATATTCAGGTGTATACAAAATAATCTTACCTGGGCACCCGAGAATCTCGAACCTTAATAAAATACAATAGTGCCATTCAACAGGATGAATACGCAAAAATCTGGTAATTATCAACTCGGGAAAAATATTCGTCACAGCTGTGTCCCCATCCAAATTACCCTCAAATACCTATTAAATGAAGACAGTATTATGTATTAGTTATTAACAATCTCAAAACATGCATTGATCCTAACATACAGATTATGTATTGGACCAGTTATGATATTATTACGTTGGATTGATTATAAATAATGATTTTCATTGATATTTACAACCGGAGAACCTGTGCCGAGTCGAACCGTCTTCCATTCTTTAATATTTCTATCATCGCCATACTGTATTTCAAACCTGGTAACCCATCCGTTTTCATATCCCTGAGTAATTACACCAGTCACGTATTTCGATGCGCCTAAGTCAACTTGAATCCATTGGTTCATATTGTTTTTTGCCGCTATCCACCCACCGTGTCCGTCACTATCGCTTACAGAGTTGAGTCTAGCACGTCGGGCGCCAAAGTTATCCCTCAGCTCACTTGATGCTTGGATATTAATACTTGGAATTCTGCGAGATTCCATCCCTAGTGCGTTTGTTGTACAAGACTCTATCAATTTAACGAACAGGATAAAAATTATTAATATCACCATCACCACCATTAATATAATCATCATCATCCTTGTTATTATCATCATCGTCATTATTATTATTATTATTATTATTATTATTATTATTATTATTATTATTATTATTATACGGAATAAGGCATGTATCTTTATAGGTCTTTTAGTAGTGGTTCTAATTCGATGATGTACCGTCCCATCTCATCTCATTCATGGTAGTCGCAGGGTCGTGACAATTTAAGAATGTTACTTCTAGACGTCATGAAATGACGTCGTGAGACTTAAAATACTAAGACTTCTCTTATTTACTAAGATCCTCTTATGAAGCCAAAATTGTCGACAGAATGCCCTTCTGTCAAGACGGAATTTCTTCTGTCCCAATAAACTTTTTGTATTTTAAGAGAAAATTTCTTTTTTTTAAATAAGTTTATATTATGTCGACTTCTGGGGAAACTCTAACGGAACAAAACGACATAACAGCCCGATGGATTGAGTATTTTAAGGATCTGCTAAATGTGGACATAACAATGCAGACCAATGATACTCAATCTACTCGACCAACGGAAGACCTAACTATGGAAGAACTCGAGACGGCCTTGAAATTGACCAAAAACAACAAAGCCCCAGGGCCTGTATGATTCCCATTGAAAGTATCAAGGCAGGAGGGGACCAAATGAAGAGCATCATACTGAAACAACTCAATCACGCATTGAAAACTACAACTTTACTACAAGAGTGGAACCAGTCAGTAATATGCCCTATTTTCAAGAACAAATGGGACCCACAAGAATGCAAGTCGTGTTGGCAAGCTCTACGAGAGAATTTTAGAAAGGATATAAGATCTCATGCAGAAAGTATGCTATCTGAGAGTCAGTGCGGCTTCAGACCCGGAAGAGGAACTGTAGATCATATTGCAGTCTTGAAATTATTCTTGGAGAAAAGCTGGGAATATAATACTAATCAACACATCTGTTTCTTAGATCTGAAAAAGGCATTCAACAGGGTCCCAATGGATAAAATGTGGAAAGTAATTGAGGAAAGATTTAGAACTCCTCTACTCAATACAATCAAAGCATATACATTACTGTATTAGGAGGCACAGAGTACTTTACCGTCAACACAGGAGTACGACAAGGAAGTGTCTTATCACCTCCCTTATTCATCCTCTATCTCAATCATGTTATCATGTTATGTTAAACGTTGAAAGAGAAGATTACAAGGCTGAGCGATTTAGGTATGCTGACGACATAGCACAGACAAGGGAAAGTATCACACGACTTCAAAACATTATGAACCAATGGGACACTGAATTTAACAAGGCGAGCCTGAAACTTACAGCAAAACAGAATACATGAAGAGAGCGGGAAGACAACCAGAAGAAGGTCACATCACTGTAAATGGACATATTCTTAAACAAACAGCAAACTTCAGCTACCTAGGCAGTAAGCTTTCTTTCACCAATCTCATGGAAGAGGAAGTAAACAACAGAAACACTAAGTTCACAAAGAATTTAAATGCACTATACCCACTTCTAAAAGAAAATAAGATACTAAACCTAGTGAGGGCATGCATTTACACAGTTATACTAAGATCAGTTTTACTGTATGGAAGTGAAACCTCGACCTTGACACAGAAACTTAAAAGCAAGATCCAAGCCACAGAAATGAGATTCTTAAGATTGATCTATGGAGTGACCAGGAGAGACAAGCAGAAATGAAAAAATCAGAAAATACTATCTTTGGAGGCTGCTCTGACCATCATTGAGAGAGGTCAACTCAGGTGGTATGGTCATGTTCTGAAAATGCCAGACTTCAGGGATCCCAAAAGAATGTATAATTGGAAACCAAAAACAAAAAGATCAAAAGGCCGACCTAGGAAACGATGGGAAGATCAGATCAAAGATATCACCAAATAAAAGGGGAAAAGCTTTGCAGAGATCAAGGCTTTGACTCAGGATAAATATGAGTGGAGGGCACTAGTGAAGAGGCTTTCAACTGACAGACCAACTGGCCTACAGACGTCTGGGTGAGCAGGTGAGCATAAGGTCTAACAAGCGAATAATACAGATTAGTTAATGCTTTTTGATTCTTAATATTCCAAAGGTTACGCTTAATTAGGCCTAGGATTCTATTACTTTTGCAGCAAACCTGTTTTGTATGCTCGTTAAAAGTCAACTTAGAATCAATAGTAATACCAAGGTCACGGTAAAAATGTACGACCTCCAAGACGTGGCCGTTAACATTATAAGGATAAAAATGTTTACGTGGTTTAAGTGTGATAGTTAAAATCTTGCATTTGTTTAAGTTAAGGGGCATTTCCCAAGTGTTCCACTATAAGTACAATATATCTAAATCGTTATGAATAGATTTGGCATCGTCAATCCACCAACCAATCGGAACAATTTTAGGTTATCAGCATATAATAGACATTGCGAAGTAAAATTATGAGGTAAGTCATTAATGAAAAGATTAAAACATAAATGGCCTAAAATAGTGCCTTGAGGAACACCAGATTGTACCGATGTCCATTCAGACGTAGCGCCATCAATAATAACTCTCTGTTCTCTATGTATAAGATAGCGAATTAGTTTTAATAAGTTACCAGTAACGCCGAATTTAGAGATCTTGTAAATGAGCAGATCGTGATTAACTCGGTCAAATGCTTTTGAAAAGTCAGTATGTATTACATCACACTGAGAGTTGTTATTTAGAGCATTATATGCAAAAATTAAAAAGTTAGCTAAATTAGAAGTGCTTGAACGCTTAGGAATAAATCCATGCTGAGTAATTGAAAGTACAGGAGCAACATGGTCATATAACACATTATGAATAATTATACGTTCATATATCTTAGCAATATTAGGAACAATAGAAACAGGCCTGTAGTTACAGACCTCATTTCTTTTACCACCTTTATTGACTACCGTACTCTCGCGAATAAGCGCCCCGTTTGAATAAGCGCCCCTCCCTAACGTGAAAATTCCCCTTAAGCGCTTCGTTTGAATAAGCGCCCCCTTCTAATTTGAATATGTTTTTCTTTTTAGCAAATCAATAATCCTATCAATCCTAGGACTGTGTTGTTGGCATAATTGAACTGTAGAGTGGAAACACATTCCTCTTAGGTCAATATCAAAATGAGGATATTTCTCTTGGACAGATGAGAGCTCCGATCCCTGGAGAGACAGTATATTTCCAACTTTTCTCTTTTTACATATTTGTCTATGCCTAGTCCTACTCCTCTTTTTCTTTTCCGACAATTTGCACCTTTAGCACATTCTCATCTGATTTTTCAAATAAAAAGTACAATGATCCTGCCATCCTGCTAATCTCAATCGGCCGATGGCCAACAGGAACCACTACCCACCACTAGTAATTGCATCTGCTATTTTACTGTTATATTCACGCATTCTTGTCATGAGCCATGTTCTCCGGACGATTATCTTTTCCGCCTAACCACAATTCGTAATGCCTTTAAAAACGTGCCTCTTGAATTTAATAATTTCCCTTAAGAACCATTCGATTTTCATCTATTTCCATAAGCGCCCACTCAATTTCCACTCTGTTTTCATAAGCGCCCAGTTTAAATAAGCGCCTCGTTTTAATAAGTGCCCCTCAGAAAGTGCAACAAATATTTTAAGCGCCCGGGCGCTTATTTGCGCGAGTACGGTAAGTTTACATTGGCCATTTTCCATGCTCTAGGGAACGTACGTTCACTAAGTTACCAGTTAAATCATACACAGAGGTTGAGAGATGGCAGGAGCACCACGTTTAAGAATAATATTACTTATGTCATCACTACCAGATGACTTTTTTGACATCTATTTCACGTAAAAGTGTTTCCAGTCCAATCCAATCCAATCAGAACATTGTTTTTGCAGATACGAAGCGCTGCACCCCACATGTTATACACCTCACAACCCACGAGCAGCCGTGATCATTGCCTAACCCATGCACAAAACAAGAAAACAAATCAAAAGAAGCAGTGGCAAAGTTTGGAATCATAAATAAATAATGCAACAATAAATAAAATAAGAATAAAAATGGGATAATTAGTTAAGAGGTGAGTCTTTAGGTTAGACCTAAAGACAGCCAAAGATGGTAAAGATCGAATGCGCACTGTAAGGTTATTCCAGATGAGTGACGCCTCGCACGGAAAAGATTTGTTACCAATACGTTTGTTAAACATAGGTTTCGATACGTAAACTATCAATATTTAAAGTATAAATAGACATTGGAACGCTATTATTAAATACAGGACTGAAGTATTTATTAAATTAGCTTTCTCCTCATGAAAAGAGGCAGTAGTATCATCATGCTTCAATTTTTTATATGTTTAATTTTGCATTTATATGAGGATTTAATCCAGCCCCATAAACGTTTAGAATTAGTTGTCATATCGTTTGATAATTTGGTAACATAACTGTAGTATTTACTACGAGAGAGTCTCTTGAATTCAGCTCTAGTGTCTAAAAAATTATCATTATTGGATGTATTAGGGTGTTTCCTGTTTAACGTGAACAACCTTTCCTTTTTACGAAGATTACGTAATTCAACATCAAAAAATGGTGGTACTCCCCGTCTAGGTTTCACTACTGGCACAACATCTTTGATAACTGCTAAGACCTAAGAATTAAAATCATCAAACAGCATCATTAACGTTTTCACAGAGTTTTAGAATATCCCATGGGACATTAAAAGTGTGTCAATTAAAAGATCTTTGTCTATTTTCGTGTAGTTATATAGAGTCATGTTGTTGATGTTGTTAATAAAAAAAAAACCTAGGACGACAGTGAAACTTAAATTAATTGAATAAGGCCTATGATCAGATTTAAAATATCATTACCACAAGCAACTAAGTTAGATATATCTTGACTACATACGGCAAGATCAAGGATGTTATCACGGTTAGAGGGAAACATATTGCATTTAAAAAGATGAAAATTAATAATAATTGAATTCACGAAATATTGTTCAATAGTATTGCTGGTAGTTGAAGTTGTATATTTTGACAATTTTATACCTGGTAGATTAAAATCACCTAAAAGAATAAGTTCACAGCCTGGGTTATTAAGATATACATCATCTAATGATTGATTTAGTTCTTCAAAAACTGCAAGTTTGGATTTAGGAGAAATATAACCCAACACAAGAATGATCTTTTTTTATTCCAGAAATGGTAATCTCAATGAAGATGGACTCTAAGTTATCCTTTTCTAGGTGATAAAGACGTTGGGACAAAAGGTTGGAAATTACTAGCATGAGCACTCCTCCTCCTCTAAGACCATTATTTCTGTCTCTTCTATATTGCGTAAAGTCCTGCACGGAAACTTCAGCATCAAGAACGCTGTTATTTGACCAGGTTTCAGTAAAACAGACAACGTTATATTCGTTATTTAGAAGATGACAACGGTAGAATTGTATGTTATAAATTTGTTTTTCAGGCTTCCCATATTCTGGCAATAAACATTCAGGCTTTGAAATTTACTGGAGTTCAAAATTGCAGCTTCAGGTCCTGGGTTAAGTTCAATGTCACCGCTAGTAAGTAAAGTAAAAGTTGCAACAGAATCTGAGAAACACGGACGAGGTGCACTGCATCGATGGTGACGAATAGGTTTGTATATTCTGCTATAAAAATAAGTGGTCTACTTTCAATATTAATAATAGATTCAGCATCTGCGAGAATTGAAACTATGAACAGGAGAGCAATAATGATGCGTTATCAGAGGAGCATCAACGTCAAAAAATAATCAGGAAATCCACAAGCAACGCTTAAGTGACAGGGCATCAAAAAATAATGTTAAAATCGAAATTTCAGTGTCAGAGTCGGTAAGTCAAAGGCTCAGAAGACATACAACGGCAAATAAAATTGCATCAAATGTTACAATCCATAATACAAGAAAACGAATGAGTTAAATCAGAATAATTCGCTTCCGGAATATTTAGTTGTCGAAAAGTTCAGGTCAAGATTACCGCAGAAAACAGACAAAGACAAAATGGCCGCCAAACAATGGCGCAACTCCAAAATGTTCATAAAGCACTAAAAAAAACACGACATAAAGATTAAAATTCAGTTAAAATAACGTTTCAGAAGCACAATGTCATTAACTCCTTGGTAAATGTACAATGATTGTGTCTTTCTGAGACTCACTCACACAGTAAGCATGCTCTTTATAATAAAGGTAGGTAGGTAGCTCGGCCACAGGTACATACAGTATAAGAAAATGGCGGCAAAGATGTAATCCTTCCTTGATACAAATATAAAAGCAATCAGAACAACTAGAAGCAGTAGTCTTGATTTTAATCGAGTGTAGACTGTAAATCTAGAAGTTGGATTCCATAGAGTACGGGTAACTGATCAAAAACTGCTAGCATTTCAACAAATGTCTAGGCCCAGGGACTGCCTTCGCGGGAGTTTTGACTTGACTTGATTTTGTGATAAGACAATGGGGTAGAGTGCTGTGAACAACACGTCTACACTGAACGGTTGACAATGAAATTTACGCTAAATACTACCATAATTCAAATCAAAATATTTTAAATTTAGCTAAAATTGTAAAGATGGTAATTAAGTTACGGAGCCTGTTGTTTTTGGTGCGTGTGTAAATATATGCTAATTGCTAATTGCTTACTTGCATAATTAAATTGCCACTGATCCTGAAATTTATGGTAATTTAGATGGTAATTAAGTGACGGGGCTTATAATTCTTTTTGGTTTGTGTGTGCAAATGCTAACTGATAAGTTGCATACTCAATGTTTCTCAATTACAATAAATAAATTTTGGTAAGTCTGATTGGTTTCAAACTCCTACTCATCAATTCTGAAAGAATGATCACACCCTGGGGATGCTATGCTTTTACTCCACGGCGTAAAATGGCATTTCTGTTGATAATATAACTAAGTCATTGCAACTCTCTGGGTTGTAATGTTCCAGATCTCTTCCATGCATACAATCTAGGAATTTCGTAAGCTACCTACGTTATCTAATTAGGGTTTTTTTTCAGATTATTCTATGATTTAATTTTTTAAATATATATTTAAGTCATTCAAGAATATACTAATGTAGATTTTAACTTACCGTTAATAGCTTTTTTGTTTTCTGTTTCTGTAGAATATTTAAAAAAAAAAAACATTATTTATTCAGTCAAGGTCAATTAAATTAGTTCGAACTAAAAGTAATTTGTAACTAGTGTAGGCCTATTTACTTTGATAATTGTTTAATTACATTTACAAATCACGACAACAAGTGGTCTATACAATTACTACTTTCACACTCTTTACTCGCAAAATTAGAACAATAGTATGTAAACATTCAACCCAGTACACGTCTCAGAAGAAAATACACCAAGAACATGCAGGGAAAACATAAATTTTACAAACGAACAATTACAATCTTTATAGGTATTTTTTTAAATGAATAATTACATAGGAAGAGTAAAAAAAATAATAGTGATTAATTAAAAGTGAGAACACAGTTCCTTACATTCCAAATCGCGTAACTGAAATCAAAAGTTAATTTACTAAGTTGTCTTTTAACTGTTTTGACTTTCGAAGTACTCAATTTTAAAATCAGTCCTCGTGATCATATTTCGAGGAACAGGAGGCGACAAGAAAAGTCGGTGTTATTAAGATCATAATGTGTGCGTGTGTGTGTGTGTGTGAGTGTGAGTGTGTGTGTGTGTGTGTGTATATGTACCTAATTTTCTTTTGTACATTAGTAAGTAAAGCCAAATACTATGATATGCTGTACTCTTTCGTTACGCTATAACCAAAAATCCATTGTAAAGATCTTTTAAAATATATTGGATGAGATTAGAATAGGGCACGAATGGTATATCAAAAAAGATCAACGAATGGGTTGTCAATCTGTATATTTTTTGTTTTGTATCACCTCAAGTAAATTGTATTCTTCCGAAATTTTTCTACAACTTACAGTTTATTCAAAGAGAATGATATAAACATCTTATTCTATTAAAATACTAAATTTAGTCGTCTGCGCTTATTAAAATTTTAAGCCTATAGGCATGATACAGCACAAGTATAAAGAAGCCAAGTTTCATTGAAACGTACGTTTTAATTTTTATGAAACAAAAATAATATACTATATAAAATTAATGTCTGATATGGCTTTTGTAGTAAAAATACTTTTATTGTTTTTCATTGTTTCTAAAATCTCATTTTTCTACCCATCATGCAAGATTACCGGTACTCGCGTGATGCAAGTTTTGAAACAAGTATATTTTAATTCCAATCTGGTCATGCTCTGCAAGCAGTATTGATAGTTTTCAACCAACGCATGGGATGAACGCAGAATATACACGACGTGCATGCTAAACAACATAGTTATAAAGGTATATTGTTATTTCTTTATTATCAGAACGATATTGCATTGCCACAATTACCTTTGCAGATAAGAACTTCAAATCTTAAACTGATATGTTCATGCCAAGACGTTGGTGTTAAGCGAATATACAACGCCATCACAGGAGAAGAGAACATGTTTGTTACTTCAGTGTCTTGATCATCATTTCCTGCAAAAGTCTAACAGGAAATTCATCAATAACATTCCATGTGCATAAAACATAATATAGAAAGTTCTTCCCTTCACATAAGCAACATACACACACATACCACACATCAATATCCACATGTACTACAACTAATACATCATTTATTATATACTATTACACAATTATTGACAAACAAAAATTGCACTGAATTCCGCAGGATTTTTCTGCGTGGAAAGAGCTCCTATCATCACTTCCGCTAATAACACTGCAGCCACAGTTGGGTTGGTTTTCCTGTTCAGTTACAATCAACACCACCGCCATTATCATCATTTTACCATCATTAATGCATGCAGCACCTATCACTAACAAACACTACCATAATCAGTATCACCACCCCATCATCACAACCATCGCTATCACCAACACTATTACCACCACCACCACCACCACCACCTCTAATATTATTACTATTTAGCATTGCCATCACCATCATTATTAATTTCATTTTATTTCGGAAGATACAATTTCATTGTAGGCCCTAATTGTCATTGTCATTACCATCACGTGTGCATCGCTATCGCGATATCAAATTATATATTATCATTTTATTGTGACTATGTTAATATCAATATATGCCTAATTAATTCTTATAAGTATTAACATATTAGGGTTAACACTGTTATTGAAGAGACTATTATAAAATGTATGTAGACCTACGTACATTTCTATTCAAGCTACAATTAAAAATAAGTTTTACCATTGTGTCGCCTACAATGTCTGTTACATTTTCCCAAATTTGCGCATCCATGCTGTAAAGTACAATGAATGATGTTACCCATTGGCTGTAGTGTCCACTCCTTCCTTGTGTTATGATACCAGATACATTAAGAACACGCCTCATGTTAACCTGTATCCACTGGCTCTGGTCATTTGTTTTAGCTGTCCACGAGCCACCAGCGTTCAAATCTGGCCTAAGGTTAAGCCTGCCTCGATCCGGTCCGTGCCACTTGTCCAGTTCACTGGACGCATGTATGTCATCAGGACGTACATTTCCAGACTCCAAACCGAGGGGTTTGTCGCATTTTTCTAAAAAGCAAAACAATGACCATATATAGACAAATAAAACATGTAACACTGGGTTTAACCCAGTATATATATACAGTATATATATTCATTATTATATCATGCTTTCATGTCGCTTTCAAGAAATAAAGAATGACCCATCAGACGATAGTGCCGTTTTGTGATAATACATCTTAAAACCATTTTTGCTAGAAATTTCTAAAACAGTAAATCAATATGCATTACCTACCTGAAATTGCTAAACTGTAGAGAAGTCCCAGAATCGATAGTATGCAGACTAATTGGGTCATTATACTGTTTAGAAAAATTAAATTTTCAATTAATGAAAAAAAAACATACTTAGGTTGAAAATGAACTTTTCCATTTAGCGAATTTTTCAAATACCAAATGTCAGGAGATACTAAATTTACTAATCAAATTGACAAGCATCCATTTAGGTGTGTTATAGCAAATTTAATAATATTGTTACTAATTCTTTAAAAAAATATATACAAACACATTATAATTGCGCCATTTCTCAGTAATAAACTATATTGAATGGAACTATATACACGTCCGTTGTATATATACACGTATGGGTCTAGGCCTAATAATACATTTCCGTAATATTTTTGTGTATGTCTGTCTGTAATTAGGCCAGCCTTCTTGGCATGAATATTAATTTTTCTCTTTTATCGAAACTGATCGCGACGTTCAACATACTAGAGAGTAAGTGAGAGAAGCGAGCACACCTTCTAGTATGTAGGGCCTTTAAGTTTATTATATTTAATACATTGGTCATGTTTTTAATTATTAGGCATATATAATGATATAGTTACTTAATTGACTGTTTTGAATAGATTAAGTGTTTGCATTTTATTTATACTTTTTGCTTTTTGCGTTATGTATTGAATTAAAATGTCATGTGTTTTATTTTTTTCTAAAGCGGGCCCCTGAACAGCTTACCTTCTTGGCTTAACTGGAATGTTTGCCTTATTTAAATGCGCTTACAAAAACATAAACAACAACAGATTATGACTGTTATAGCTAAACTAATAAAAACTAACAGATGGCCTAAACAGAGTCATTTTACAGTGCATATACAACAAATAAATTTACAATTTAACAATTCTCAGTACTGTACATTATCCCTGTAACAAAATAAATATGCCATTTATAATTGTGGAAAGGGCATTTACTGAAGCAAATGCTTTTAAATAAGGCCCTTACAAAGAGAGAAAAAACATGATAATAACAATAATAATGACATAAAATGTATAAACAGTAATATAAATAAACTAGTGAATAATAAGAACAGTCTAATTTTAAAATCACGTAGTATCAGAATAACCCTCTAAATCCCAATAAGGGGATTTACATCCTGAGTGGTCCCTTTAACACTTAAACAATAAACGGAAAACACATATTGACAAAAACTGCGATACAAATATAAAATGACAACAAAGTGTAAAAAGTGGTATATAAAGATAAAACAAATCTGAGTTTAAACAATTTAAAAGTACATGGTTAAAAATTGAGTCTAAACATATTTGAAATTAATGTTATTGCAATCCAGCACAAACAATGTTCATTAAGTATGCCTTAAGAGCTTTTAAAAAATATTCCCTATGCTTAATAATGTAGAGAAAGTCTGGTTATTCTCACTTTTGTAACACGAACATGATAATTATGTTAGATGCCTCTGGTTGAGTACGAGTCCATTGCGGACAATTTAACAAACATTTCATTCAGGTAATCAGGACACATATAATAATATATTTTAAATACACGATTCACTGACAATTACTAGGGTCTAGTTTCAATATTAAGGTAACCAAATGTTTTAAAAGCCTCTGGTCTGGTCCCTTTTTTCTCCATTTTTTTTTGTTGAAAACTTTAGGTGGGGACCAGGCCAGCTGGGCCCCTTTTAAATCCGCCACTGTTCCAAAAAAAATATTATTTTTAGTTCTAATCAAAAAATACACATTTGTTTTATGATCATAATTAATAATATGAATAAATAAATGAATAAAAATGAATGATTGAAAATGAATGAATGAATGAATGAATAAAATCAAATGAATAAACGAAAACGAATGAATGAATGAATGAATAAAATCAAATGAATAAACGAAAATGAATGAATAAATGAATGAATGAAAACATGAATGAATGAATTAATTATTTAATGAGTCAGTAAGTGAGTGAGTGAGCGAGTAAATAAATGAATTAATGCATGAATAAATGAATGGAGGAATGAATGAATAAGTGATTGAGTGAGTGGGTGAGTGAATGAAAGAATGATTAAATGAATGAATGAATGCATAAATAAATAAATGGATGAATGAATTAGTGATTGAATGAGTGGGTGAATAAATGAATAAATGAATAAGATGCCTCTGGTTGAGTACGAGTCCATTGCGGACAATTTAACAAACATTTTATTCAGGTAATCAGGACACATATAATAATATATTTTAAATACACGATTCACTGACAATTACTAGGGTCTAGTTTCAATATTAAGGTAACCAAATGTTTTAAAAGCCTCTGGTCTTATGTGATACATGGGACTTTGTCGCAGAACAAATCGAATTGCTTTTTTATGAAGCCTTGGGAGAGACCAGTGTATCATGCTACCAACGAATAGGCTCATTACTATTGCAGAGCATAATCTCTGTTGCTTTCGTACTTTAACATGCAAAGGAATGTTATGCGAGAATTTACTTTTCGAGAATACTCTCGACAATGAATTCACTGGTTAGCTTATTATTATTTAGACAAAGTACTAAGTATTTTACACTTTTCGAAAGAAATATCTTATAATCATTAAACATGATATGCATGCCTAAAGTTTCTTTTATCTGTATGTTGATTAAAAAAGAAATGGTTCAGTTTTTCCAGTGTGAAGAGACATGTTATTATCGACAAGACATTTACTGGCATTTTCTAGGTTTCTGATAAGATTCTCCTAAATAGTTTTTGTATATTCGCCTTGTTTACATACAAGAATGCTACTCACGAGTTTTTACAACTTCCATTGTGTTGTACATTATTAAAAAAAAAAAAATAAATAAAAATAAATAAATGAATAATAATAAAAATAAAACTTTAAAAAAATTAAGTAAAAAAATAAAAATAATTAAAATAATAAAAATAATAATAAAGAAGATATATACGCAAACACTGCCTGGGACCATATAACGGTTTGCTACATGTTGAGGTCTTCTCGCATACCTATTTCATATCATACGATAAATAACCTACATACGGCCTTGTACATACAGGTTAAGAGAAATAGCAAGAAAAGCAAAAAACCAGCAAAAAACAGAAAACCAATTTTGTTCAGGATCAAGGCCACATCACCATCACCGAATCTGCCAGTATGCACATTGACCCCTCTTTCGTCTATACTAAAATACTCAAGCTCACTCTCTGTTGGTTTATAATAATAACGCTATTTATTTCAAACGACATTCGAAAACTGCAACAAATAATAAGAAAGGCAAAATTAACTCACATCAATCGGGAAAAACTATAATTAATTGACATGTTCAGTCAAGCGTGACGGCCTAGTAACAAGTACCGTACTCGCGCGAATAAGCGCCCCGTTTGAATAAGCGCCTCTCTAGAATAACCGCCAATCCTAACGTGAAAATTCCCTCAGTATATTTCCAACTTTACTCTTTTACATATTTGTCTATGCCTAGTCCTACTCCTCTTTTTCTTTTTCGACAATTTGCACCTTTAGCACATCCTTATCTGAGTTTTCAAATAAAAAATACAATGATCCTGCCAACCTGCTAATCTCAATCGGCCGATGGCCAACAAGCTAACCACTACCCACCGCCACCACTAATTGCATCTGCTATTGTTGCTGTTGTGTAATTATTCACGCATGAGCCATGTTCTCTGGACGATTATCTTTTCCGCCTAACCACCATTCGTAATGTCCGTATATAATCTTTTTTTTCCCAAAAAGTGCCTCTTGAATTTAATAATATTTAATAATTTCCCATAAGAACCCTTCGATTTTCATTTATTTCCATAAGCGCCCCCTTATTTTCCACTCTGTTTTCATAAGCGCCCCGTTTGAATAAGCGCAAAATAATTGCAAAAAAAATATATATATATTTTAAGCGCCCGAGCGCTTATTCATGCGAGTACCGTACCTGCAACACGGCGATATTTTTTTTTCTATACGAGAATTGCCAATGAAGAAGAATTAAGCAGCCTGATTGGCTGTTTTATGTCACATGACCCCTCAAATTCATTCAGGCATGTAACACGTTGTAACACCGGGTAGTGCGAAGTTGAGCCATTCTTCAATAAAGAGAAGCTCGAAATCTAGAGGACATTAATTAGGCCAAGGGAACAGTTGTAATATAACTCTTCCCTGATTAGGCCTACTAAATTAGGCATGTTATTATCAAACAAAGAGGTTTGATTATTGTATCAGGAAGTATGGAATATTTAAGCTTTGTTGTACAGGGTTAGTTGAATGTAAGTATCAACATCATCGTTTCAAATCTGTTGTTTCCCCACACACCCTAGTTATGTTTAGAGATTGAGAAGTACCAGTATTCACAATGATACACATTAAGGCCTATACGGAATCTTGGCATTTCACTATCACATGTCCTATTTAAGTACAGTACTTTGCCAATAAATCTTTTTCATACCGATGCTGTGATCCTCAACGCCGCTCACTGAAGCCATAAAAACGCGCGTAGACACAAGTTAAAGAATGGCTAATAATACAACATTCACTATTCCTCTAAAGGCAAAGCGAGCTAAACAGACATGCCATGGACAGACGAGACAAGTCGTGCTCGTTCGCACTCTGGATCTTTTTGATACAATCTGAGACAACTATAATATGTGTATAATAATTGTCTCAGGTACAATTACGAAGCAATGAGACGGGCTGTTTATCGCACTATCGTACTTGTTCTATGCTCGACTGAGTTTGATGAATCACGTGACGTAGAATAGCCAATCAGGCTGCTTAATTTTCCTTTATTGGCAATTCTCATATAGGAAAGAAATGTTAGCTATTTTACACCCGCGATAGATCGCAACTCAGTATTCACTACAATACAAATCTAAACATTTCAGATAATAATGACAACCATTCATACATTTTTTATCTTGCGTCATTCATATCAAATCTAACATTTCAACAGTACTTAGATATTAACTCCAACTTTTCAAACAGTAACAAAAAGAATAAATCTTCGACGACAATTATCACGTCAATTAATATACTGCCTTTTATACGCTCAGGCCTATATCCTGCATACCGGCGTATTGTC